GTAATTTTGCTTTGAGGGGAACTTGAAGGACTATAGTGGTTAAAGGAATACAATATCAAATAGCTAAACTAGTCATGAATAATTACCCAGCAGAGGAAAATAGGGGGATTCTAACAGTTATTTCTGGAGTCTAAGTGATTTGGGACGATATCTGCAGTGGGCAACTTGTGATACAGGACACAGAAGCATCCTTGACAGGAAAGAGGGGGAATAAGTAAATATCATCAAGCCAGGCACGTCGGGTTTTATTTAAGGAAATGCCTTCTCATGTAGGCAGTGATGTGTTTAAAAGCGAGACATTCTCTTATACTTGTTTCTATTTTAAGTGATTGCTTTGACAGGCCTTTGAAGAAAAGATCATTTCTCCATCCTGCAGCTTCAGTAACTGCCCTTAAATGTCTGATTGTGTCACGCTTTACATGGTGGCAACACTGTCATTTGCTTCCCTGGCACTCAACCAGCCAGTGACGGCTAAAGCTAATGACACTGAATTGTCAGCATACCGTGCAAGGCAGCCACTAATTAGTTATTTGTCATAATCTCCTGGAGATGAAATTACTAATATTATTACTTAACACATCCTTTGCAGTTTGCACTTGCAGAGTGCTTAGGGAAGAAAAAAGAAAGAATCCGTTTGGGCAATGAGGACCCCACCAGGCCTGCCTCTGTTAGCAGGAGGTCAGGAGGCAGTCCCCAGACCACCTGTGTCTGTTCTTTCACACAAGCATGACCTTAAGCTTTATGTTCTCTGGCAGCCTTTGAATTCCAGCTGAGAAATAGGATGATTATGTGTGAGACACTTTAATTAAATTTAATCATATTAATTATCAAACTGTTCCTTGAAATTAAAAAAAAAGAAATCCTTTTAACTTAGTAACCTTCATTTGGAAGTCATATACATACACGATGCAGACTAGAAAATAAAACTGTAAATGTGCTATGGCAGCTGTAGAAAACAAGAAAGCCATCTGGGATAAAGTGACCTGCTCAGGTCAGTTCTGACTCACAGTGACCCCACGTGAAGAGTGCAAGCAGATCCGCTCGCAGAGTCGACCATGGCCATGATCTTCCTCCAGGACCCCGTGGGGTCGTGGGTTATGTGATGGGCTGCAAACAACATGGAAACAACCAAGGGCGCGCAGGCTTCCTGTTCTTGAAAGAAGTTCCATTCTCTGAAACCCAGGGTGGAATTTCCACCCTGCTCAGACAGGGTTGCTTTCCATCAGAGTAGTTTCCATCAGAAACTCCCTGTGCAGGAGTTTCTACATTTAAATGTATGCTCTTACTCAAGTAGGTTGAGGATCACCAGGCCCCCACCCTACTCTCACCCCTCATGGGGGCCTTGGGTCATTCAGTCTGTCAGCCTCTAAGTTAATTTCCAAGTATATTAAGGATTTGCCTCTCGCAGGTACATTTGATGCCTCATGGTTGGAGTATGGACTGTTTGAAGATCTTACTCTTCAACTAGAGTCTATCTGCTGAGACAATTCTTAGAAGGAATAAGAGCCTTTCTGGACGGTTTTTGTTGTTGTTCGGTACTGTGTCTTTGATTCGAACTCATTCCAACCCCGGGCACGACAGAAAGGAACACTACCTGGTCCCGTGCCATCCACACAGTTCCTAGTATGTTTGTGCCCATTGTTGCAGAGACTGATAAAGCAATAAATTACAACTAATACTTTCACTGAAATATGTAATCCGTTCATAATAGTTAGATAAAAAGATAGGTAGGTAGGATAGATAGGAGAGGAAAACAAACTTAATTTACCCACTAGAAAATATTACAGGTGATCCTCTGCGTTAGGCATCAGGCTGGGTTGGCTAGAGAAACAAATCCAGAGACATTCATACATGTGTAAGAAATAACTTTATATCAAGAAGCTTTATATATCTCAGGAAACCATCCCAGCCCAGTTCAACTCAAGTCCGTAAGCCTGATGCTTTTCCATATGACCCTCTTCAGACTCATGCAGGCATAAGCAACGATGCAGAATGCAAACATATCACGGGTAGGTGGGTGTAAAATCTAGCGGATCGAATGGTGGTGGACACAGGTTCAGGGATCTGGCTGCCATCAGTCAGCCAACAGCAGGTGAAAGCAGTGTGGGGGTGGGAGGAACATGCCCTGGGCCCGCTCTATGAGAAGGCCACACCCTCAAGGAGGCCCCATCAGTCTGCGACCTGATCGACAGGTTGAATACCACCCCTACACCTTCAAGTTGACATGAAATTATGTAACTATCACACCCTCTAAAAGATATTGGTTGAACAAATACATGAACAGTTTTTCTCAAGTGAACCCGATAGGGATTACTATCACTCTGACAAGACAATAGAAGAAATAATATCTGGTTTCAGTAAATTTTATAAATTCCTTAAATAAGTACACTGATAGGTTTAATATTCCCTTTTGAAAAGAAAGAAGTTTGTTAGTGTAAAAACAAAAGTAATAAATAATATTGATTGAAATGTAATTTGAATGAACTTCTCTTAGATTCACAAGTATCAAGCCCTTGACATCAAGTTACTTGAGCAGTGGGAAAATGGAACTTATGCAGGTCCAAAATTAATCCCTTTTGGCTCAATAACCATTTGTGTCCCAGGTCAGCTTCTACATCACTTTGTCACTGGATTACTTGATCCTTGGGACTTAGCCAGCAATAAGAATTGTCAGACTGCAGCAAGGTTGAGTTGGTGTTTTAAACAAACTCAGATTGTTATGTGCCCTGTTTGAGAGAGTTAAGACTGCTTTTTGTCCAAATATAGTCATTGATGCCATCAATAGTCACCCAAATAATTTGGACAGAAGATTTTCAAGGGCTTCTCTGATTAAGGAGGTTATTTAGAAGTTGCCTTTGTTTGGCCCTTTGTTTTATAACCCCAAAGAAAACTCTGTTGTCTTCCTCAAAAAGTGGAGTAGTTGATAGGGATGAAGCCCCCCCTTGGCCACTAAGTGTTGCTATCCAGAATACTGGGAACACTGATAATAGGGTCCAAGCCGTTAAGCCTTTGGCTGCTCACCAAAAGGTTGGCAATCTGAGCTAATCCAGAGGTTACTCAGCATATGGGTTACATGTTGGGGGGCTCCCTAACAGGTCAGCAGTTTGAAACCACTAGCTGATCTACAGAAAAAAGATAAGGCTTTCTACTCCTCTAAACAGTAACAGTCTTGGAAACCCAAAGAGGCAATGCTACCCTGTCCTGGAGGGTCGTTATGAGTTGGCACTGACTCTATAGCTGTGGGTTTGATTTGGTTTTGAGAAGAACCTTGAAAGAAAAGCCTGGTGATTTCTGGAAAAGCAGTCATTCAGAGAGCTCTAGAGCACAGTTTGGTTCTAGCACATGTGGAGTGGCCGCAGGTTGGACTCAACCCACGACACCTGGTGGTGGTGGTGGTGGTG